TTGAAATATTGATTAATTTTCCCTTTGGGGCCCCGCCCTGGCCCCAGGGGTCGGGGTAGGAATCTCAATTTTACAATTTGAAACCATCTACCTCCAAGGATAATTCTCACCAAGTAAAAATAATTTCCTACAGAAAGTTGTCAAAATATACCCAAAAGTGTTCCCCTCCCCAAGGGAGAACGGATATATCGGGGGGCCTGAAATTTACAATTTACGTAAAGCCCCTGATGATTTTTCTTTCCATGTAGAGAAAATGACTGTAGTACCTTTGAGTCTGGAGAAGAAGATTTTTGAAATATTGGTTAATTTTCCCTTTGGGGCCCCGCCCTGGCCCCAGGGGTTGGGGTAGGATTCTCAATTTTACAATTTGAAACCATCTTCCTCCAAGGATAATTCTCACCAAGTAAAAATAATTTCCTTCAGAAAGTTGTCAAAATATACCCAAAAGCGTTATTTCCCTATATAAACTATAGTAAAGTTTACCCCCTCCCCAAGGCCGGGAAAACGGATAGCTCGGGGGTCCTGAAATTTACAATTTAAGTAAAGCCCCTGATGATCTTTCTTTCCACGTAGAGAAAATCACTGTAGTACCTCTGAGTCTGGAGAAGAAGATTTTTGAAATATTGATTAATTTTCCCTTTGGGGCCCCGCCCTGGCCCCAGGGGTCGGGGTAGGAATCTCAATTTTACAATTTGAAACCATCTACCTCCAAGGATAATTCTCACCAAGTAAAAATAATTTCCTACAGAAAGTTGTCAAAATATACCCAAAAGTGTTATTTCCCTATATAAACTATAGTAAAGTTTATCCCCTCCCCAAGGCCGGGAAAACGGATAGCTCGGGGGTCCTGAAATTTACAATTTACGTAAAGCCCCTGATGATCTTTCTTTCCATGCAGAGAAAATGACTGTAGTACCTCTGAGTCTGGAGAAGAAGATTTTTGAAATATTGGTTAATTTTCCCTTTGGGGCCCCGCCCTGGCCCCAGGGGTTGTGGTAGGATTCTCAATTTTACAATTTGAAACCATCTTCCTCCAAGGATAATTCTCACCAAGTAAAAATAATTTCCTTCAGAGAGTTGTCAAAATATACCCAAAAGTGTTATTTCCCTATATAAACTATAGTAAACTTTATCCCCTCCCCAAGGCCGGGAAAACGGATAGCTTGGGGGTCCTGAAATTTACAATTTACGTAAAGCCCCTGATGATCTTTCTTTCCATGCAGAGAAAATGAGTGTAGTACCTCTGAGTCTGAAGAAGAAGATTTTTGAAATATTGGTTAATTTTCCTATTGGGGCCCCATCCTGGCCCCAGGGGTTGGGGTAGGAATCCCAATTTTACAATTTTGTAGTCTCATCTACCAAGGATGATTCTGACCAAGTTTGAAAAAAATCCATCCACTGGTTCTTGAGAAGAAGTTGAAAATGTAAAAAGTTTAAGCATGACGGACGACGGATGACGACGGATGGAAAGCGATTAGAATAGGTCACTTGAGCACAGCTCAGGTGACCTAAAAAATATTGAAATGATTTAAATCCTAATATTGCAGATTTGAAACAATGATTGACATCCCAAACCTGTTTTTATAACCCTGACATTGTGCCCATTCCTTGACCGCATTACATTATTCCCTGTCTTTGAAATAACAAAGAACCTGTGACATATGACATAGTGCAATGATATGACATTATCCTGGAGCCTCTGACATGACAAATTGCTGTGACATATAAAATTGTTCATGGTCTCTGACGTATGACATTTTTCATGGTCTCTGACGTATGACATTTTTCATGGTGTCTGACGTATGACATTTTTCATGGTCTATGACATATGATATATTGTTCCTGGGCAATGACATGACATTGTGCCTTGACTATGACATTTGACATTTCCCTCGGCCTCTGACATTCAACATTGTGCCCAGCCTATGACATTGTGCCCGTCCTACAACATTTAAGTCCCTTACCCGCCAGAGTCTGTTCTAACCTGTCCAGTCTCTCCATATCAGTAACGAAGATATCTGACGTCATGATTTCCTCTCTTTAGTATCCACGCTAAATGGCCTTTTGGACGCAAAACTAACGTCTCACTTTACTAAAACTCTACATGCAAACTTCATAGATGTGAAATACAACAAAACATGCTACCACACATACAACAATAAACTCAGCAAGCCAATCACTTTTACTTTGAGCCTACTTGAGGCGATATTTTTCCGCTTGTTTGCTGACTATTGTTCTTTCAGCAAAGGGCCTTTGTTTATTTGCGGCAGAGTCAATCTCTTACACCAGAGTGGGCCATCCTCCTCCTAATACACAGCATGTACACATTTTTAAACAGGAAAACCTCTGGCTAGTGTTTGTATATATTTCTACATTCCATCAGCAAATGTATCTGATGTGATAACAAAAAACAAACTTTCAGGCTGGGTGTTCCTATTTATCAGCAATTGAGCTTGTGAAGACCATTAGAATCTAATTCTGTGTGGGAGCATTTTTCTTGTATCTACTCCATTACATCAGCAGTGTGTACCTCATTGTTAGTGTGTGGGTATATGTAACCCCCCATAAAGGTAATATGTACCTCATTGTTTGTGTGTGGGTATATGTACCCCCCCATAAAGGTACCATGTACCTCATTGTTAGTGTGTGGGTATATGTAACCCCCCATAAAGGTAATATGTACCTCATTGTTTGTGTGTGGGTATATGTACCCCCCCATAAAGGTACCATGTACCTCATTGTTTGTGTGTGGGTATATGTACCCCCCCATAAAGGTACCATGTACCTCATTGTTAGTGTGTGGGTATATTTAACCCCCCATAAAGGTAACATGTACCTCATTGGTTGTGTGTGGGTATATGTAACCCCCCATAAAGGTAACATGTACCTCATAGTTTGTGTGTGGATATATTGTGGGAGCATTTTTCTTGTATCTACTCCATTACATCAGCAGTGTGTACCTCATTGTTAGTGTGTGCGTATATGTAACCCCCCATAAAGGTAACATGTACCTCATAGTTTGTGTGTGGATATATTGTGGGAGCATTTTTCTTGTATCTACTCCATTACATCAGCAGTGTGTACCTCATTGTTAGTGTGTGGGTATAAGTAACCCCCCATAAAGGTAACATGTACCTCATTGGTTGTGTGTGGGTATATGTAACCCCCCATAAAGGTTACATGTACCTCATTGTTTGTGTGTGGGTATATGGAACCCCCCATAAAGGTAACATGTACCTCATTGTTATGTAACCCCCCATAAAGGTACCATGTACCTCATTGTTTTTGTGTTGATATATGTAACCCCCCATAAAGGTAACATGTACCTCATAGTTTGTGTGTGGATATATTGTGGGAGCATTTTTCTTGTATCTACTCCATTACATCAGCAGTGTGTACCTCATTGTTAGTGTGTGGGTATATGTAACCCCCCATAAAGGTAATATGTACCTCATTGTTTGTGTGTGGGTATATGTAGCCCCCCATAAAGGTAACATGTACCTCATTGTTATGTAACCCCCCATAAAGGTACCATGCACCTCATTGTTTGTGTGTGGGTATATGTAACCCCCCATAAAGCTAAAATGTACCTCAATGTTTGTGTGTGGGTATATGTAACCCCCCATAAAGGTACCATGTACCTCATTGTTTTTGTGTTGATATATGTAACCCCCCATAAAGGTAACATGTACCTCATTGTTTGTGTGTGAATATATGTACCCCGCCATAAAGGTAACATGTACCTCTTTGTTTGTGTGTGGGTATATGTAACCCCGCATAAAGGTACCATGTACCTCATTGTTAGTGTGTGGGTATATTTAACCTCCCATAAAGGTAACATGTACCTAATTGTTTGTGTGTGGGTATATATAACCCCCCATAAAGCTAAAATGCACCTCAATGTTTGTGTGTGGGGATATGTAACCCCCCATAAAGCTAACATTTACCTTATTGTTTGTGTGTGGGTATATATAACCCCCCATAAAGCTAAAATTTACTTCAATGTTTGTGTGTGGGTATATGTAACCACCCATAAAGGTACCATGTACCTCATTGTTAGTGTGTGGGTATATGTACCCCCCCATAAAGGTACCATGTACCGCATTGTTTGTGTGTGGGTATATATAACCCCCCATAAAGCTAAAATGCACCTCAATGTTTGTGTGTGGGGATATGTAACCCCCCATAAAGGCACCATGTACCTCATTGTTTGTGGGTGGGTATATGTAACCCCCCATAAAGGTAACATGTACCTCATAGTTTGTGTGTGGATATATGTAACCCGCCATAAAGGTAACATGTACCTCATTGTTTGTGTGTGGGTATATGTAACCCCCCATAAAGGTAACATGTGTAATCGTACGTGTTATGTATCTCTACGCAAAATCATGTAAATTTCTCTTCTTTTTTTAGGTGTACATTACTTTATTTCCTGTAGGTTTACTTGTGAATACTTGAATTTTCTGTTGAGATTATGCTATTTCAAAACAATTATAGTCACCATTGATGGAATAATTATTCGTAAAGTCAATTTCCTGAATGAACTCCTCATTAATCAATGTGAAAATTATCTCTTCCTCGAAAAATGAAGCCATTTATTAACAATAGCTTAATTTCCGGAAATCTGTTTTAAATCCTGTATATTGAAATCACAACTCAGCCATTATTTATTTATAACACAATATGACCTTGATTAGTCAAAAGGATGCCATGGTATTAGTAACAGCAACATGCAACAAGGAAAACACTAAAACCTTTGTGATGAACACAGAAATAAACATCATTGATTGATTTAATTGCATACATTTAATACAACAATATATCAATAGAATATTAAACTTTTTTGGCTTTTTCGAAACAACAAACTGATCATGCTACTTAACAACAATGTGAATTAAAACTACGGATGCTTCAAACACACATCGAAAAAATGTTCTGTAAAAGTGCATGTTCATACTGGTGTCACAACAATGAAGTGAAAAATGGGTGATGTGACTTACAAACGGCAGAAGATGTCCCAGTGCCAAGAGCAGCTTCCGTGGGCAAAGTCAAAATCAGCTGTTATTAATTGTAGAAAAAACAATTCAAATAGTACAGTTACCAACTGGAACTGATCTGACAGCATTTATCGTCCCCTTAATTATCAGTAGCCCTTTTTAATAAAGTAGAGCCACATTTTTCGGAAATCACATAATTCCTTTTATCATATGAATACTGTGTTATGCAGTGTCATAAATCCATCACATAATTTATGTTTATGTTTAACGTGTGTAATATCATGCCAGAAATGACGTCACCATCGAATAGGAACAATCAATGTGGCGTCACGTCACTGAAAAACTGGATTTACCTGTTTGGGCTTAGATTCATTTTCTGGACACTTAATAAAGACTACTCAACACCACAGGAACAGTTTGAAGATCTTTTGTGAGTGTAAATATTTCGGCCCACTGGACACATTCCTTTATTACGGAGCAGATTTTCTGTTCTTTTACCATTACTCGAGAAGATTTGTTGTCTTTGCAGACAAAATTGTCTGGATTACAAAGGTTCTGACTTGTAGAATATTTGTTGTATCTCCTAACCAACCATCAATCTATTAACATGACTGGTGACTGTAGGGCCGATTTACTCATTGTTATAATCTAAAGCCATATCATTAAACTAGATCTGATTAGCAACATAGTTCACTTCACTGCAAAAAAACTATCTCAAGAATTTTAATCTGAAAAATAAAATTGTTCATTTGTATTACAGTAAAAGCCTGGTTAAGTTTTAAGCATCCTGAAACTGTAACAACTCTAACCTTCTTTCCCATTCTCCTCCTCTTTTTCTCCTCCTTCCTAAACCCTTCACTCCATTCTCACCATTACTCAGCTGTAGTATAATACTCACCATCCCTACCTAAACTTCATCAGCTATCTCACAAGACCTCCATGTCAAACCCTCCACAACATCTGGAGCAGAACACCTCCCCCTTGGTTAGACCTGTCCCCATACCTATACCTCCGAGTAAATTAATCCTGACTACCCGGCCTCCATCACTATCGTATAAATACACTACTACAGTCATATAAATCAGACTGGGATGTTTTATGATCACCAAGCCTAATGAATTACATTATATGATGTTGCTGATATTAACAATGACAGAATGCATACTTACGTAGCTTCTGTAGAAAACCTCACTTTATGGGTCCACCGATAAGTTTTTAATTACATTTTTTTTCTACATAAAACTCACTTCACAGGTCAATAAACGTATCTTTATAACATTTTCTCTCAGTGTTGGTCCACTGGGCTTATTACAGGATAATAACGATAATACAGATCATGTTAATATAAAAGATCTTTATACAGCTAGGTCTTACTGTAAATAGTTAGTTAATATGTATATTTATTTCCATGGGTGAATCTTACTACTTTAGTATTGTGATAAAGCCAGTTTTCAGGAGATGCAATACATGGTCATGTAGTTTGCATCATGACGGTACAAGATGTCATATTACCCTATTAGCCCCAACTTGTTTTTTGTTAAACTCAATCATCACAGGTTATTAACTTATCAAATTGACAATAAATTCAAATGGGTTTTAACTATTTCACCTCATGGTAACATAACATCATTATTCAATTGTCAATGTTGTTTTTATCTGCCCTTTTTTTTAGATCAGGCTTAAGAAAACTTGCTCCTGGACAAAATGTCCGTAGTCATTTCAATGGTCGGATCTTGCCTCATTGTAATGTTGTCTACAGAACTCTGAACCTTCTAAGTGATCTTATTTGTGAGTAAATTTGGCATGTACACTGTAAGGAATAATAACTTCTTAAAGAAATACCTTAGTTCTGTTACATTAATTTGAAGGACTCTGATTCTGTTAAAATGGTTTAAATAACCTTGGGAAGAGCTGATCCAATTGTTTGAATGAACTTACTTTCCAAGGACATTAGTTTTCTAAATACTGCAATGCTATAATTTAATACATTATTAGGAATAAATGAATTTTAAACATTATCAATATCCGCAGCAAGTATTTATCTGTGTACAGGAATACAAAGGTATGATTTGTGATGTTCCCTTACACATTGAGGTAAGTTCGCTATAAGATGTGACTTACCTGCGAGTGGCCCAAGCTCGTCTTCCCGCATCAGATCCTCTTGGCTACTGCTGCTGGCACTTCCTGTACTGCGTCTCATTTCTGCAGCACCCTCTGGTGGTTGGATATTGGCATGTAAATTTCTGCTTCGTCTCATCACCACTGGCGAGGCATGAAAATCGGCTTGGTCACCTGACGGGCCGCTCGGTAAACCTTCGTCGACAGCTGCTTTCTTAACATAGAGATCGCCACCGGAGGAGGTAATCGACAAAGCGTCATCCGCAAATGGAATGTCATTTGCACCAGAAATGTTATCAACTTTCGGAATGTTTACTGCGGAGGATGATTTTTCAGACGGATCTCGGAGGTACACTGTCTCTGTAATAGTCTCCATATCCCGGGAAGATCTCTTACTCTGTAATAGATAAATAATCATATTTATTCCAGATAATAAATTATAAACTCGAAGTCCAGATTCATGGTTATATGTCTAACTGTGATTTTCTGGCTGAATTGCTTCACCAGACACATGTCTACTGCCAGAGTTGTCTCCCCTTCACCAGACACATGTCTACTGCCAGAGTTGTCTCCCCTCGACCTGGTACTTATTAGACATTACACCATGCATTACTTCAATTTGCCACTATTCCATTCCTTGCATTTATGTTATCTAAACAATACAAATTCTGTTTGTAGTGATCATGACTCCAAAACTCTGTTACAGTATTGTACATCATTAAATCAAAACTTTATATATTACCAACTGACGCAGCTTTTATTTAGCGCTACCTCAAAATTGAAGCACAGGAAAAATATCTTGATAAAATTAATAAATCATATCCTTTTGTTAACGTACTTTAGCACCTTAGTAGGTTGATCTGCAATCCAGTTCAGAATTAGAAGACTTCATGTGACATTCAACTATACCTTTTGATTTTGTTAATTTAACTTCATATTCAAGGAGGATGGACTGTTACCCTTGTTAGCTGTATCATATTTAAGCCATAAACATGTGTTTCAACAATTACTTAACACTGTATCACAATTTTGTTTTCAAACATAACAATGTGAACAAGAGGCCAAAGGGCTTAGCGGTCACCTGAGTTATATCATAGGTACTGGTAGCTTTATTTTATTGCTTAGATGTGATGTGGAAATCAGCATGTAAACTAAGTGAAATATAATACTTGTCATGTCATCAAAGGATAAGAATTTTAAAATATTGGCAAATGTTCCCTTTGGGGCCCGGCTTTAGCCCCTGGGGATGGGGCAAGAATTTCAATTTTACAACGTAATACCCTCATCCACCAAAGATGATTCTGACCAAGTTTGAATAATTTTCTACTGAAAATGGATAAAATATACCCAAAAGTGTTGTTTCCCTATATAAACTATAGTAACCTTTACCCCCTCCCCAAGGGAGAACCAATAGCTTGGGGATCCTGAAATTTACAATTTAAATAAAGCCACTGATGATATCTTTCCATCCATGCAGAGAAAATGACTGTAGTAACTCTGAGTCTGGTGAAGAAGATTTTTGAAATATTGGTTAATTTTCCCTTTGGGGCCCCGCCCTGGGCCCTAGGGTTGGGGTAGGAATCCCAATTTTACAATATAAAACATCTTCCTCCAAGGATATTCTCACCATGTAAGAATAATTTCCTACAAAAAATTGTTAAAATATACCCAAAAGTGTTGTTTCCCTATATAAGCTATAGTAAACTTTACCCCCTCCCCAAGGGAGAACGGATAGCTACGGGGTCCTGAAATTTACAATCTAAATAAAGCCCCTGATGATCTTTGCATCCATGCAGAGAAAATGACTGTAGTAACTCTTGAGTCTGGAGAAGAAGATTTTTGAAATATTGGTTAATTTTTCCTTTGAGGCCCCACCCTGGCCCCAGGGGTTGGGACAGGAATTCCAATTTCACAATTTTGTAGCCTCATTTACCAAGGATGATTCAGACCAAGTTTGAAAAATGTTCATCCACTGGTTCTTGAGAAGAAGTTGAAAATGTAAATGTTTACACATGACGGACGACGACGGACGACGACGGACGGAAATTGATAGGAATAGGATAGGATCCTAAAAATCTGGACAAATCTGCATTCAACTCTTCAAAATAACTTTTATAATAGTAAGTTCACAAAGGTCAAGGTCAAAAGTGAAGATCACAAAAATGCTGTGAAACATTGATGCTATACTCTTAAATGCATATAAGTATGTGAAGTTGCGTGACTCTAGCTGCAGTACTTCGCCAATAACTGACCTAAACGCAAAATATAACCAGTCGGATGTTCATATGTACCGAGAAGGGTATATACATAACACTTAATCCCACACTTTTCGGTGCGGCAAAAATAATATATGAATTCACAAGACCCTGTGCAGTAGAGACACCTACGTCAATGCCCGCCATCTTCTCCTGTATACCCTGCATGGCTGTGTTGGGTGAGGGGGGTGGGAAGTCGGGTGTGGCTGGCTGTGGGTAGCCTGTGGGAGTGAGGGGTATCTCCTCTCGATGCAACCTCTTCTTCTCAAATTCCAGAGATGGAGGTTTAGCCAGCTTTCCTTCACCCAAATCTGAAATGGATCGGGTAAAAACTGTGAGACTGTTAACAGCATTCTGCATGCAAAGTCATCCCTTATCCCTTCATTCATATTGGGATTAAACAATTTTTTCCAATGTTCATGAGGCTTGCATGAATGTTAGTCTGTTACATATATTCATGTTTCATGAAGTCTGTATATGTTCATGAAGTCTGTATATGTTCATACCTGCAACAACTCAGAAAAACTGACATCATCCAGTTCATATATTTACATTCTAAATTAGTTATCTAAATTTCAGTTTTTCCTAATTATTTGCAGTATTGAAGTTTCCAATCATCAAGTGCCTGGAAGAGCCTTACATCATATAAGAGTTTGCATCTCATGATGCTTCAAAGGCGGGAGAAGCATCAAAATAACACTGATCCGATTGCATTCATAGCCCTATGAACACAATAATTTTGATAGTGATTTATAGGGACTTGCAGGCAATAGAAATAGAAATATTTCTTTTTATAAACAATTACATTTTTGTGTTTCCTTACAAAGATGAATAGATATTATTTTGATTGTTGCTAAAAATTTGTGTACTTGCATATTATGTTTCATTATTCTGTGACAATTTTATCAGGAATTGAAAAACAAGAAATAATCTGAAATTCAACTGAAGAGTCACTCTGTGAGTCTGAAGCCAATTACTTATGGTGTTCTAATTAAGAAAGCCAACATCAAACCTCCATTTACAATTAAATAAAAAAATCTGTATTCGCATTTTGCATATATGATTGCTATGTTTATTATGATTTTTACATATGTTCCCTCTAGTGAGAAATTAGCCCTTAGAATTATTACATATGTTCCCTCTATTGAGAAATTAGCCCTTAGAAGTATTACATATGTTCCCTCTAGTGAGAAATTAGCCCTTAGAATTATTACAAAAGGGAAAAAAAGGCGAAAGTTAAGCTGTGGCGAACATTTCCCAGCGTACAGTATATAATTATAAGTATACTGTTATTTGTGTCCACGGGTTTTATGATATTCTGAGCATGCTTTCACCAGTATCAGTCTTACTTCAACTTACGTTTGATTGAATGTTGATCGACAACATGATGAACACCGTTTGACAAACGTTTGCTATCCGGTAACAAAGCCTCGGAAAGCCTCGATTCCCCTATGTTATCTAAAGTCTTTTCTATCACAACACTATCTTTGTTTTTATCACAGAAACTTTTATCACAGCTAGAGTCGTCTCCCTTACCCCCTGTTTGAATTGGCACAACTGCTTCCTCACACTGAACATTATCGTAACGACTCCTCCGTTTTTTTCCAGGACATGAACTGGGGTCTTTTTGGGAGCTTTGCCGTTGTGAGGAGCGAATTTTTACTGGTAAGACTGGTGGCTCTTCCTTGGAAGTCTTTGTTTGCTTAACAGTCGGTCTACGAGGGAGGGGGATGTCCGGAATGTTATCAAGTACCGTTTTCTCCGTAACTATGGAATGCACAACTTTATCACCATGTTCTTGGTTACTTGTGAACACATCCTCGTCCAACGCTGAAGGACGGTTGATATACAACTCACCAGAATCACTTGACAACAAATCATCGGAGGATGTAGACAATGAAGACGATGAACTAACATTAGCGTCCTGTTTGGTTTCTGTATTGTGAGAACTGTTTGATTTTGATGACAAAACTCTGTCCCTATTCAGATTGAGGATCTTGTACATATCTTTGTATGTGTCATTTTCGTCTTCTTTCACATCACTCATTCTCACATAGTCTGTCTTTTCACTTGCCTTTACTTCATTCATTTTCATATAGCCCATTCTGTTGACAGCAATGTGGTCTTCTGTTTTGCTAACATCTGACACGTTCATGTAATCCTCAGTAGGTTCTTTCTCAGTACAGGTTTCAGACGTTTTCATCCTATCCTTTGACGGTCCTTTTTTAACTTCAGTCATTTTCATGTAGTCCTCCATTGGTTCCTTCTTAGCGTCACTCATTTTCATATAGTCCTCCATTGGTTCCTTCTTAGCGTCACTCATTTTCATATAGTCCTCCGTCGGTTCATTCTTAGCATCACTCATTCTCATATAGTCTTCTGTCAGTTCTTTCTTAGCATCAGACATTGTCATGTAGTCCAGTGGTTTCTTTAAGGGGAGATAATCCATGATAGGTCCCTCATGGTCTGGAAGGGGAGGACTGTCACGTCTAGGAGGAACTGGTGATCTGTTCTGTTGACCTTGAGGACTACGCCTAGAACCTGGACTACAGGACGCCGGTGGTTTTGATCTTTTTGGCTTCTGCGGAGGTGTCTGAAGATATTTGAGAGTAAAAATACAATCACATATATATATATATATAACAAAGAGAATCATCTTTATGAATATCAAAACAAAACTTAACAAGAAAATATTTGTAAAGCAAACATGCCCCTGATCTCTCGTGGGGGAAATGCAAATAAAAGTAAAGCCATACCAAAGAATTGGAGATAAATGAAAACTTGAACCATAGTTAGTGAAAGGGAAAATATAGGTCATAGTTACCTAGGTTTGATATTTTAGTGCACTACACTTCAACATGTACCCCCTAAATATGAAGTTTCATTTCTAGTATTAAGACTTATAGAGCTAAAAACAAAGCTTAACCAAGACAATAGGTCCGAACTTCACTTAGAAGAGTTTATAAGACCTCATTTATTATATTCATTCACTGCTTTTGTAACAGAGGTCATTATTTTTTCAATGTCTCTGACAGGAGTTGAACCCAGCACCTCTAGCTTACAAGTTTAACGCTCTACCGAATGAGCTGAAGGGAAATTCTATGTAGCCAAGTCGGTAGAAAGTGGCTAGTATTTCACTAGGGTGACAAGTTTGTTTCAATTAGATACAGAATTTTCTATATTGATAGAAGTATTTTGATATTCATAGCACCATTTGTAAGTCACTATAGATTCTGTATATAAAATCCTGCTTGATTTAATTTCAAACAAATTGTTCAAGAAAAATGTCAAAGGTTTCATTTGATATTTTTAAAATACCTTCTTCGGTATCTTCAAGGATGATGACAGATTTTCTCCACTTGCCGACAAGTAGCCAACTGAAACTGAATAAGATACCAATAATATACATATGTATTTTCTTCTGTAAAACACACTTATAACACAACAGGGGAATGCAAAAAGTACAAGGGCCAGTAAGTTTTTACAAAACAGAAACTACAAAACATCTGACATGATGTAAGTCATAAATTTCAATAGCTGTCAACCCTCCCTCATTAGGATGGAGACTCCCTCCCATGGCTGTCAACCCTTCCTCATTGGGAGGGAGACTCCCTCCCATAGCTGTCAACCCTCCCTCATTAGGAGGGAGACTCCCTCATTAACATAGCTGTCAACCCTCCCTCATCAGGCGGTACACTCCCTACCATGGCTGTCAACCCTCCCTCATTAGGCAGGACACTCCCTCCCATGGCTGTCAACCCTACCTCATTAGGAGGGACACTCCCTCTCATAGCTGTCAACCCTCCTTCATTAGGCGGGACAGTCCATCCCATGGCTGTCAACCCTCCCTCATTAGGCGGCACACTCCCTCCCATGGCTGTCAACCCTCACTCATTAGGAGGGACACTCCCTCCCATGGCTGTCAACCCTCCCTCATTAAGAGGGACACTCCATCCCATAATTGTCAACCCTCCCTCAATAGGCGGGACACTCCCTCCTATGGCTGTCTACCCTCCCTCATTAGGAAGGACACTCCCTCCCATAGCTGTCAACCCTCCCTCATTAGGAGGGAGACTCCCTCATTAACATAGCTGTCAACCCTCCTTCATCAGGCGGTACACTCCCTCCCATGGCTGTCAACCCTCCCTCATTAGGCAGGACACTCCCTCCCATGGCTGTCAACCCTACCTCATTAGGAGGGACACTCCCTCTCATAGCTGACAACCCTCCCTCATTAGGCGGGACACTCCATCCCATGGCTGTCAACCCTCACTCATTAGGCGGGACACTCCCTTCCATGGCTGTCAACCCTCCCTCATTAGGAGGGACACTCCCTCCCATGGCTGTCAACCCTCCCTCATTAAGAGGGACACTCCATCCCGTAGCTGTCAACCCTCCCTCATTAGGAGGGAGACCCCCTCCCATAGCTGTAAACCCTTCCTCATTAGGAGGGACACTCCCTCCCATAGCTGTCAACCCTCCCTCATTAGGAGGGACACTCCATCCTAAGCTGTCAACCCTTCCTCATTAGGAGGGACACTCTCTCATTAACATAGCTGTCAACCCTCCCTCAGGAGGGACACTCCCTCCCATAGCTGTCAACCCTCCCTCATTAGGAAGGACACTCCCTCCCATGGCTGTCAAACCTACCTCATTAGGAGGGACACTCCCTCCCATGGCTGTCAACCCTCCCTCATTTGGAGGGACACTCCCTCCCATAGCTGTCAACCCTCCCTCATTAGGAGGGGCACTCCCTCCCATATCTGTCAACCCTCCCTCATTAGGAGGGACACTCCCTCCCATGGCTGTCAACCCTTCTTCATTAGGAGGAGAGAGACTCCCTCATTAACATAGCTGTCAACCCTCCCTCATTTGGAGGGACACTCCCTCCCATAGCTGTCAACCTTCCCTTATTAGGAGGGAGACTCCCTCCCATAGCTGTCAACCCTCCCTCATTAGGAAGGACACTCCCTCCCATGGCTGTCAACCCTCCCTCATTTGGAGGGACCCTCCCTCCCATAGCTGTCAACCCTCCCTTATTAGGAGGGACACTCCCTCCCAAAGCTGTCAACCTTCTCTTATAAGGAGGGAGACTCCCTCCCATAGCTTTCAACCCTCCCTCATTAGGAGGGGCACTCCCTCCCATAGCTGTCAACCCTCCCTCATTAGGAGGGAGACTCCCGGCTATAGCTGTCAACGCTTCCTCATTAGGAGGGTCACTCCCTCCCATAGCTGTCAACCCTCCCTTATTAGGAGGGGGATCTTTCATTAACATAGCTGTCAACCCTCCTTCATTAGGAGGGAGACTCCATCTTTTGACCAAAATTTACCAATCTCCCTAAAACTCCCTCATTTAGCCATATCATTTACACCGTAATTTTAGAACTGTGAAGTTGGAACTATGTCAAAATGTTTGTTTATGATGTAATATTCTATTTTCAGTTCTTACCGTGTACGGATGAAGAATCCCCGGGACAGGCTCTCGGTGGGGGAAGCTCATCATGACTCATCATGTAATCCCTCTTAGGACCACCTATCTGGCTTACGTTATAGTACGGAGTGTTTCCATCCGAGGTCCGACGCTCTCTTGTGACAGGTTTTCTGTCCCCACCGGAATTATGTCTCTGTTTAGCTGCTGCGGGTGGGAGAACTGGGATATCATCCCAAGTAGCAGGGACTGATGGCTGACGAGGAGGCATCTGTTTCAGCCGTTCAGGTGGAGAACTTTTTGGTGGGATTGGAAAGGGCTGGTGAGGTACGGGACTAAAGGGTGCTGGTGGGGTATCATTCACTATGCTAGCAAAGGATGGTAGGTGTTTGGTTATTTCCTCCAGTAAGGATTGCGACCGGGGAGGAATCGGAGGGGCAACCAGTTCATATCCAGTGTCATTCTGAGGTTCCTCCAACCTGTCAAAACATAATATATCACATTATTACACTTTTAATAAGTTTTATGCTATTTAAAACTATTTGTTATCATTAATTTTTCTAAATAAAGTTCAAAAAGTCTGAATCTTCCCTTGTATATGTCACTCATCAACTGGAAACAAACACTAAAACCAGCCTTAGCTTTGTATAAGTATTTAAATGGGAAACAACACAAGAAACGCGAAGTCAGGTCTATGTATTCCAACTTTCATATACATGATATACAAAGGGGAGTAACTCCTTTTAACCCTTTGATTGTGTTAAGACAGATCTACAGAAATCAGTGAACGATCTACACCGCTTTCTAGATATAAAACATGCCTATAATGCCTTGATACCCGGCCCTTCCAAAATATCCATCACGCTTCAGGTCTGTGCCCTATATTCTTATTTGATCAATTATAAAAAATCTAGGTTTGTACAATTTTTTTATCTGAAGAAGTATAATAACGCTCCTATGTCTACTGAAAACTATTTCATGTTCTCTTATCATGTATTTTATTTTTATATTTTTAATGCATTCATCTTGATGAAAGAGTAGAATTGAAATTTATGAAATTTAATCAGCCAATCAAACAGCTTCACAATTTGATTTTCTATTTAGATTATCAAAATTCTAAAAATAGTTCAAATATTCTGTTTCTTTATAAAAAAAAAATCACAAATGAAATATCTTTTCAGTTTTTAATGCAGTTGCTTACTTCTTGTCCTGTGAGCGGTCACGCTTGCTGGGTTTGGAGTACAGGTCCTCCTTGGGACTGCTGTTTCGGGGTTGTGCCCGGGGGCGAGGGGACGGGCGTTCCTCTTCAGGAGAAGGGTGCTCCTCCTCCTCCTCAGGAGATGGGCCCTCCTCCTCTGCCATAGCCTTCTGTAGGTCCTGCAGTTTCTGGATATACTCTGTTACAGAAATACAAATTTCTCACAACCAGATAAAACAAGGGTTAAGTAAAATAATAATAAATAAGGCATCACAAGTGATACAAATCCCCTCGCATTCACACATTGTGACATATGTAAGAGGAAATGAAGTCACTAGAGCAATGACAAAGTTTTTCTGAAAAATAGTAAAAGTGACCTTGACCTTTAATGCATTAACCTGAAACCCAAACTTGTTCAAAGCATTACCATGCCAAACACTTGCATGAAGTTTCATGAAATTCTGTTCAGTAATGAAGTCGCTAGGGGGAGGACAAAGTTTTTCTAAAATTAGTAACAGTGACCTTGACCTTTAACATAAAAATCTGAAAAGCGAACTAGTTCAAGGCATTGCCATACCAAATACTTGTATCAAGTTTTATGAAATCTCGTTGAGGAATGAAGTCGCTTGAGTCTTACATACACAGAGTGTAACATACGTACAGGCGGAAACCTTTACCCCCTCCAACATTCGTTGCGAATGGATAATAATAACAATTTGAGCTTATTATATACTGCTTTATCACAACCTAGGTCCTAGGTCATCTTAAAGCGGTTCACAAATTATTATCCGTGGTTCTTGGGATTTGCAACCAGCCAATATCTTTCTCAACACCCTGGGGAGCATAAAGTCGGTGCTGCTGTTTTAGCGCTCGCAGCTAGCATTCTACAATTCTAGCACTGCCAAACTACAGACTCATTTACAGCTGAGTAGACTGGAAGAAGCAGAGTAAAGTATCTTGCTCAAACATGTAACACAGTGCTGTCACCTGACTTGAATCCACAACTCTTCAGTCACGAGTACCTCGTCCTACCACTAGATTAACGTGCGTCAAATATCATGTATATTGTGCTTGAGCCTAATTTCTTGGCCTGGATATAAATTATTAAAAAGAAAAAAATTGTCAATGATTTGGAAAAAAGTGGAAACCTGAATACTGTTTTCAATGTTTACATTTGACTTTTTGAACTTTTAACATGATTTAGGTGAACTATAAGAAAGCTGGTTTGAGTAAAGAATCCATGCTTGAGCATGAGAATGGTTTCACGAATACAGGCCGAAGATGCAGTGAGTAAAACAGGTTTCTATACTAGAAATAAACAGTATTCTTAGATAAGATTAGTAACTTCTTTACTCATTTCGATTGGAGGTGTTTTACAATTTCGGAAAATGTTTCAAACTAAGTCTCAAAATATAACACTAAAACAATCACTTGTCTTGTTGACCTTAAGGTGGCTCCACACTTTCGCAATTAACCAGCAAAATTCGTTGAAACTTTCATATAATGGTTATGCACCTATGTAGAGTTGATTTTATGAAAATCCAAACATTCCGATAGTTTGGGGACTTTTTAGAAAAAAAATACCAAAAAATTGAATTTTCGTCTATTTTAATATTTTCCGTTTAATTTTGTGTGCGGCATTGTTCGGAACAATAACAACAATAATAAAACGAAAAGAAGCATTTCTAGTTAACCCTACAAATATTTTATTTATTGCAAAATATGTAACACATGTTACAGAAAGTGTTTTTTATTGAATTTGTACGGATAAAAGTGATTATCTACAAGCTAAAAGCAAACAGGACACAAAGATCTATACATATAGGATGGGAAATTGAACAAAATATACACAATGGCTTTATAATTAATTTATTTTACATTTTACAATCACTTTGATCTGGGTGAGAGTTATCTTCCTTGAAAAAAATCGGAACTTTTTGCAGAGGGATGACATTTACACAATGACAGTTGTCTCTGTTTACATATAACAAAAATGATGGAAATAAATCAAAAATATGATATCAAAATTATCAATTTATTGTTCTTTAATGGAACCAAATTACCCTCAGTCATGTACACTTTGGACATCATTCCACAGTCCGCTAACTCACGGTATATTTATAATTACATGTCAGGTACATATGTGACCATAGGCTATCACATGGTATGCCGTTCTCACGTGCACGCACACATGCATTTCAAAGGTATCTTGATATTTTACAAAATATTATTTTCACAGAGTAAGTAGACTACATTTGTAAACACAATTTAATCGACAGAGCGAAACTCCCTCAACAGCAAAAATCGTAACGACCTCGAGCTTATGAACTCGTGTAAGAACGTGATATGCACATGTGAGGTCGGTACGTCCACATTCCATGTGTTTCCTATATGACCTTCTTGAGGTCGTCTGGTCTCATGTCACTGTCTGCCCATGAGTCTGTTTATGTCTATGAATTGGAAAGCTTTATTCCTGAAGTACGTGTGATTATACATTTCCCTGTAAAATCTCGATATCGGGTGTTGACATATCATCGGCCACACATGTACTATTGTTTACCAGGGGCCTGTTCGTTTATGTGCAAATGTGTATGCAGGCCTTGCAAGGCTTTCTCAAGGCTCGCCTGAAAGCAGCATCAGATTACTAGGTCCAACCTAATTTAATAAACGAACAACAGTGGTCCGATCGGTTTGACCGTTTAAACGAAAACGGCCCAGGTGTTACTATAATTTGCACTACGATATTGAATGCCCGATACGCAATACGGAAATGACAACACGGTGTACATGCACATTTTCGATCAAGATAATTGATTCCGAGCTGTACTTTTTCCGGAAGTACGTCACGAAAATGGACGCTGATGACGATGTGTGGAGCCACCTTAAATGAATAATAGAGTCTGCGCTTACAATGAGGGTATGGCAAAGATATCTCAAACCAAGAGATGACTTGATTGTCAAACCCAAGGTTTGTTTCAGGCAAAGGGTTAGACATTAACTCATTCATCCCTAAAATTTCATAATGAACTATTCCAACCTTTGAATTGGAAGAGTTCAAATGTGTTTTCAGGGGTGAATGAGTTATAGCTTCTCACATAGAGGGTGAAGAATTCCATGGTATACCATACCCTCAATGTAGAGGATAATGCTTCCTCTCCTATTCAATCAATATTAAAACATTGGATGTCAGTTATTGTAATCTGTGTTTTCATCCTGACATACAATGGACCTGTCCCATAGAAAGCCAATTCTAATTTATTGTACTCCTTCCCCTGATACCGTAATATTGTTTCTTTCCGCATGCCATGTGTCATTTCCTAAGGGGTCACAGAGAAAGCATACCCTTGGGGGTCACAGAGAAATATCAAACTAGTAAATGGGAGACAACTCAGTGAAAGTGGAGAGAGTAACTTACGTTGTATAACGAGGCTAACATTGGAATTGCTTCCACCGATCTGAGCGGCGATGTCCTGAGCTGTGTGGCCGTTCCTGTCCACACCCATCAGGTCAGTCCCTGTAACAACAAAACAGTGGAAACGTCTTAATTCTTATAGTGACCAAAGGAAGGTTGAATTTACTCATTCACCCCTGAAATTTCATAATGAACTATTCCAACCTTTGAATGGGAAGAGTTCAAAGGTGTCTTCAGGAGTGAATGAATTAATATTTAGTGAAACCTAAGTTCCCTAGACAACTGACCACCCTGACAACATCTTATAATATTTTACATGATTTTTTCATGATGCAAATTAGTACTTTTCTATCCCTTTAATGACAGTTTTACAGAGAGTTACATCCTTCGAAAAGATCCAGTTCTTTGGCAGAACGTTAGAATGCTGTCATAATAAAGTATCTAAATATGTTTTCTCTTTCAATTTTTTTTCAATCATTTTTTTTTATCATTATTTTATACCCTTCATTTTGCTTTGTAAAGCTTTTCTTAGAAGAATTCAAGCAACTGAAAAGAGTTTCTTTAAAATAAATGCTGTATCTTTACACCTTCAAAAGAGGACGTTGGTAGCTCTAATGTTTGAAAATGCTCCAGAGTATGAAGCAAAACTTTAACAATCAGCACCAGATGTATGTGCTCTTCAAAATCTAACCCTGCATGCAGCTTATGTGCAATAATTCTACTACATTGTAATACCTCGGCTTGACATTTCACAAGAGCCTCAGCTGGGACACGCACATAGACAAGATCACCAAGAAGGCTACTCGACCTTGGCTTTCCTAGGCAGAAATCGCGCAAACATACAGAACATCATTTGCTAATATATATCCTTAAGCTTGTCCACACTACCCACAATAGATTCGCTACTGGAGATTACCAGCGCACAAGCAGTGTAGGGCAGCTAGATTGGCTACTGGAGATTACCAGCGCACAAGCAGTGTAGGGCAGCTAGATTGCTACTGGAGATTACCAGCGCACAAGCAGTGTAACAGCTACAGCAACTTAAGTGGCAGTCACTCCAGACCCGCCGGGTAACAACCCAAATCGTCATGCTATATAGGATAGTCCATAACCTTGTGGACATCCCGGTGGATAGCTACCTACAGAAGACATCACTGCGGACCAGAGGCCACACCCTGCATTTCCTTGGACCACGCACTAGAACAACAGTGTACAAGACCTCCTTTTTCCCCACAGCCACCAGGCTATGGAACAGATTGCCAGGAGGAGCGGTGAAGGCCGAGAGCCTGGACAGCCTTAAGACCCAGCTGTCCAGGGCCGCCGAACAGTAGACGTCGACTCTGTGTTTTTAACATTTTATCCATTCTTGCGTGCACTGTTCATAGACGCTAATAAATATAACCCCCTCATGCAGAGTGCAAAAATATTTAAGTGATGTCGCACTGAACCGGAAGAAGAAGAAGAAGAATATAAAGGTCCCACATATTCTTACCTCTCTCCAGGAGAACGGATACAATCTCGGGTTTGAAATACATCACAGCAACATGGAGGGCAGTACCATTGTCTGTCTGTATGCAATTCAAAGAAAAACATCATTTTACGTGGTGAAGGTCCAGCACATAGGCTGTATGCTTATTCCACATTGAAACATGGCAGTGATTTTTTTCTATAGACTTTATTCTTCTTCCTTTAGTTACAATTTCATTTCTTTTATCAGCTTTTGTTTGAAAAAGTTGAATTCCTGCTGGCTTTTTTGCATATATGAAATACGATTATTTTGCAACAACCTAGTACTCATTGTTCATAGTGTTATCTATCTGAATAGCTTACTTACAAGAAAATTTATTCTGTGTTCAGGGAGTTTTCTTGATGAAAATTAGTCTTTTCAAAAGAGGAAAATTCAAAATTTCTATAGTAAAATAAGTCTACATAATCCCTGCATTAAAACTGACAAAGCGTAATCCGTTCACTCTACTCAACCCTGAACTATTTCTTTTGAAGGTAATCCTTGGTTCAACATATGTACCTTTGTGTTGATATCAAAACCAGCATCCAAGAGAATCTCTACGATCTTTCTGTGGCCACACGCTGCGGCCAAATGCAGAGGTGACCGGTTTGGGATGAGCCGCTGGGATAAGTAAGGGAATTTCTCCACCAGGAGACTGACCACCTCCACATGGCCGTATTGTGCAGCAAGGTCAAGGGCAGATTCCTGCTTCAGGTTACGAAATGACGGGTCAGCATTGTGCTGTAACAAAGAAAGTGACCGAATGAATGAATTGAATGCTTAAAACATGTTTTTTTCCTAATATCATTAATAAGGTAATGGGCTTATAACAGGACAATATAAGAGCATTTGTTTGCATTTTTACACAACTCATTCACCCCTGAAATTTCAAAATGAACTATTCCAACATTTGAATTGGAAGAGTTCAAATGCGTCTTCAGGGGTGAATTAGTTAACTGCAATATATAGACGGGCTTATAACCAGGCATGGGCTTAACGCCGGATAAATACAGTACATAATTATGGCCATTTTTCGCAGATGGAAGTGTAGATGGATCATTTAAATTGATCATCATCTGGTTACCAATATTAGGAGTATTACTGGGACAGATTTGGTACTAAAGTGACAATTACTAATTGGCTATCTAAGATTACATTGAACCTGTTGGGAATGCTCTTACTTCTACATAGGATCAAGTTGATATAGAATTTGACCACCTACTTCATATAACTGCATGACCTAAGCTCCATTTACCAGTAATATCATCCTAGATCAATATCTTGTCCAGGTCACCACTGGTTTATTTGTATTAAACTGATATTTCATTTGTGCCCTAAACTCAGATATAAATACACCACATTTGCAAAATTTTGGCTGGTGAAATATTGCCCTTTACAAGTAAAATCCATATTTGTGCAGGAATTTAACCTTTAACCTCTGGTATTACCTGTATAAGGACATCCACCACACTGTCGTATCCGTATTGAGCGGCGTAGTGGAGCGCAGTGTCGCCGTTACTGTCCTGTAAATATAGATGTGTCTACAATCACTTCCTGAAAATCAATATCTAAAGACCAACATTCATGTATTTAAAAAAAGAAATAATAATAAAAATAATTTCCAATGAAACTTACCAGGTAACTCATTCACCCCTGAAGACACATTTCAACTCCTCCTATTCAAAGGTTGGAAAAGTTCATCGTGAAATTATAGGTTTGAATGAGTTAACACTGCTAGCTTCATATACATGCAACCCCCACCCCATGATCTCTAAATTCAATATTAGCTGCTCTTCATGCCTTGTTATCGCTAATTAAACTAAAGGAGATATTGGGTGTTATTATGGCAGTTTATAATAATTTGGACTTCATGAAATTGCATGTCACAACTTAATTATGCTGCATAAATATTTACAATAATTACATCAAGATTCATAATTCTTTGAAAAAGGGTTCAAACAACTTGAAGGTTAAACTTGCACCACCTATTCTCACAAATTAGGAAAGATGTTGAAATTTATTTCCGAATTTGGAGAAGTAGGCTGAATCATGTTACACGGTCAGAAAGTCAGGTGGAAACATTGGAGACATTACTCGGTTTAAAGTCTTTCCAGATTTCTTGCATATTGTTGGCAAAATATGATTTTTTTTATCAATTTATCACTGGCACAAGAATTGGGCTTGAGCACAGAATCTGGGTTTAAGCTTGAGAACAGTTTCATTAATAAGGACCCAGATCTCACGCAAACTTACAGAACATCATTTGCTAATATATATCCTTAAGCTTGTCCACACTACCCACAATAGCAATATTATAAGACTCTTTCATGTCCAGGGGTGTAGGATAAGGAAATTCCACCCAAGGAGTTTTCAAATTTGGTAAAACTTGAGGCTTTGCCGAACTACCCGAATAAGCTCAGAAACCATGAAAATGTGTTTGGACTGACTACCATTTTGAAATTATCAATTTTTCCCCTGAGCTCTTTTGACGAAAAGGAATCAGTCAGCGAGATTAAGCATACCCCATATTAGCAAACAGTAATTAGTAATTTATATCATCTTTCTAACTTGTACGGTAAATACATCATAAAAGGTTAATTTCATTACAACGTTTTTTCCGCATCGCGGCATCAGAGTTTTCCAAATTCATGACGTCACATCATTATTGAGCCATTGTGACGTCATGTCACATGAAATGGTGTGTAGAATAGAAATTTCGTACACCCCTTTCTTACCCTGAACAGCTCTTTCTCTCATATCTGGCCATGTAAGAGAGTGCTGGCCATGTAAGATAGCCATGCTTGCCGAGTCTATCTTACAAGGGCGTGACGTCAAAATGGCTCAATAATGACATGTGGTTACGAATTTGGAAAACACTGATGGCGCAATGCGTAAAAGGCAACGTGATGAAGTTAAAACCTTTTACGATATATTTACCGTTCACGTTAGAAAGATGAGATTATTTTTTCTGTGCAAACTCTATTTGCAATTAAAGGGTATGCTAAATCTTGCTGACAAATTTGTTTTTGTCAAAAAAGCTCAGGGGAAATTGATATTTTCAAAAAGGTTGCCAATCCATACGCATTGACATGGTTTCTGAACTTATTCTGGTTGTTGGAATGAAAGAAAAATAATTTATCATGCCCAAGGGTGAAGGAAAGGGAAATTCTAACCTCAGGATTTTCAAATTTGACAAAACCCTTGGCAAAGCCTCGGGTTTTACCAAATCGCCCCATTAGAGCAACAGGGTGCTATGTCGAATTTTTGACGAAAATGACATTTTGATTAAATATTTTATGAAATATCATTCTCCATCTTTTGTAAAAATATTTAAACAGTATCATTATTATTAATGAAGTTATGTGTTAATTAATGAATTGGGCTATCTTGCAAAACGTCCTTTTGTTTCAGACAACAAGGTGCTATCTCAGTGTTGTATACAGCAACAAGGTGCTATCTTGAAGATAGCCCCTTGTGGCACGGCTGTAGGGTCATGTTACACTCCAATTAGGAGATATAGCCCCAGAGGTAGAGAATATTTATTGCTTTTGATTCCGAATCTGAAGTCCATAATATTGGCCATTAGGCTAGTAATGTAATTCCAACTCTTAAAATAATCAGTCAGAAGGTATTGTGACTAGCGTGGGAAAGACACACCTGCAAATTCCAACGTTAACCCTGACAATGTAAGTACAGTTGTATTTCCATTAATAATGCATAGTAATATTATTGTGAAAACTTCATGCAGATGTTTTATAAATAAAGCTTAATTCTGAATATTGTGTAACTGTAACTATAGTGAAATTTATAAACCAAATCATGCTGTAACTGAATAAATAACCAAGCATGTACTTATTTATCATACATACCAGCATGGTCCAAACCAATAGACCCTGTTATACCATTATGGCTTTTATGTCACATATATATATATGAAATAACCTGTTTTTATTTAATATATTTTGATGCAAATATACATGTTGTTTAAAGTTTATTCATATATACTTGAATATAAATACTTTTGGATTTTATTGCAGATGTCCCACAGCGATGATGACACCTCGACTGATATGTCTGATGTCCCTTATTCATTCTTTGACATTGACATTGATGCTATTCAGAATAATTTTACTAGTCGGGTAGACAATACTCACGGTGAAAAACATCCAATAAAGGACAGCACTACAGAACATGAGGTTACTATAACCCATCATCGAGCGGACAATACTGAAAATGAGGCTGACAAAACTCATCTTACATTGGAAATTACTGAAAATGAGGATGGCCATGCTAATCCTCCAGTGGATGTTACTGAAAATGAGGCTGACCATACCAATCCTCCAGTGAATGTAACTGAAAATGAGGCTGACAAAACTCATCTTACATTGGAAATTACTGAAAATGAGGATGGCCATGCTAATCCTCCAGTGGATGTTACTGAAAATGAGGCTGACCATACCAATCCTCCAGTGAATGTAACTGAAAATGAGGCTGACAAAACTCATCTTACATTGGAAATTACTGAAAATGAGGATGGCCATGCTAATCCTCCAGTGGATGTTACTGAAAATGAGGCTGACCATACCAATCCTCCAGTGAATGTAACTGAAAATGAGGCTGACAAAACTCATCTTACATTGGAAATTACTGAAAATGAGGATGGCCATGCTAATCCTCCAGTGGATGTTACTGAAAATGAGGCTGACCATACCAATCCTCCAGTGAATGTAACTGAAAATGAGGCTGACAAAACTCATCCTCCATTGGAAATTACTGGAAATAAGGCTGACAAAACTCATCTTACATTGGAAATAACTGAAAATGAGGATGGCCATGCTTATCCTCCAGTGGATGTAACTGTAAATGAGGCTGACAAAACTCATCCCCCAGTGGATGTTACTGAAAATGAGGCTGACCATGCCAATCCTCCAGTGGAAAGTACTGAAATTGAGGCTGGCAATATTGTCCCTGACACTATAAACTTGACTTGTGATTCACTCATTACCACAACTCACTCTTTAAACAACCAACCTGTACCGGAACACTTTTCTGAGGACGAAGACAGCATTCCGCTGTCTGAAGTCAGGAAAGCAATGTTGAGGAAACGACAGAGGGAGCCAAGCACCGATTCAGAAACTGATGATTTGGACAAAACTTACAAACCATCTAAGAAAGACTTAAATTCTTCGGATACAGAAAACAACGATTACGCTGATTTAAGCTCAGATAATAAAGAGCATGTTGTTCCATTACCCAGAATATCATTAAATACCAAACACAAACGTAGGAAGAAGAGGGACAACATAGCAGTAACAAAACTTTAAAAGACAAAAATAAGGAAAACAGCATTTCAAGCAGCTACAGCTAAAAGTGCCAAGATTGCACAAATTCAAAAAAGGATTACGCAATATCATCAGTCCAGACTTGACAAACTTTTGTTGAGTAATGGATTGAAAAGAATCCCAGTAACAGCAGATGGCAACTGTTTTGTAAATGCATTTCTCGACAGTTTCAATCAGAACAAGGATACTGTATCTACTGAGTCTGTGAGAAGTGATATTGCTGATCACCTTCGTGACAACTACAATCACTATCGAATGTTCCGGGACAAAAAGTTAGCATCTGATCAAGATGACAAGTCAGAGTATTTGTTGGAGGTGGACAAGATTCGAGAGTCCGGGACATGGAATACAGATCTTGCAGATTGTATGCCACTCGCTGTCGCCAATATCATGAAAAGGCCTGTCAGGATATATTCCAGCAAGATGCAAACACCTGTTATTGATGTTGAGCCTGATCTACATGGTGAGTCATGTTCCAACAATGACTACATATTCCTTGCATGTACAGCCATACGTGGTCAGGAGCACTATGATGCGGTTAAAAGACTTGATATTTCAACGCCAGTAAAGGAACCTACTGCCAATCAGGCAACGCCTCAGAACAAAAAGTCTTCCCAGCCACAGTTAGTAATACCTCATAAACAGGCAAACTACAAAAGTCCAAAAAGAAGACAACTGTTCCGAAAAAGGACTCCAAAGCCATCAGAGTGGAAAAGAAACAAGCAAAAAATGTTCAGAAACAAAGGAATGTCTTACATATCTAGCAGAGGAATACAAATTCAGTCTCGGAAAATAGGAAATGTTGACTGTTCAAAATGCAGGTTTAAGTGTTCCTCGAAGATTGCTGGGGAGGAAAGACAAAAGCTATTCTCAACGTTTTGGGGCATGGTTGATTATGAGAAACAGCGATCATTCCTGTGCCAACACATTATACAGAAGGATACAAAGGATGGAAAAAGAAAATCAAAAGCTAATGCATTTCATCTTACCGTTGATGAAAAGAGTCACCGTGTCTGCAAAACCTTTTTCCTGAAAACTCTCGATGTTGGCAAAAAAGCAGTTGAGCACGCACTAAAGAACAAGTGCCATGGAACATATGTTGGACATGATAGACGTGGAACTTTTGCTTCCGGATACAAAACTCCGCAGTGCTTCACCGACATGATTCACGAGCATATACGATCATTTCCCATCATGGAATCCTACTATTCTCGAGCAAAGACCAGAAAACAGTACCTAAGTGCAGACCTCAACATTAAAGTGATGTATGGTCTTTTCAAGGAGAAATACTTTCCTGACAAAAAGTGTCCAGTGAAAGAGAGTATCTATCGAAAAATCTTTTGTGAGAATTACAACCTGTCGTTTCACAAACCCAAAAAAGATCAATATTCTACATGCACGCTTTATGAACAAAGGAAAAAAGATGGAACAGTTGATGAAGATGCAGAAGCAGTTTATAGAGTACACCAAGAGATGAAAGAATGGACAAGAAAAGAGAAACAGAGGGATAAGACAAAGGCGAAACATGATAAAACCTTTCATGTTTCTACTTTTGACTTGGAGGCAGTCTTGTCTACACCTTGCTCCCTTGTAGGTGAGCTTTATTACAAGAGAAAATTAAGTTGCTACAATCTTTCCTTTTATTCACTGTCGGATCAAAAAGGAACATGTTATCTGTGGGATGAAACACAAGGCGGACGAGGATGGAATGAGATTGGATCATGTGTTCTGAAGCAGATAAGTCTTCTCGCAACACCTCAGAAGATAAAGGAGGTTACATTTTACTCGGATACCTGTGCAGGACAATACATGGCTAGTGGCCTCCTGTATGCAATGAAACAGCATCCCAACATTGAAAAGGTCAATCAAAAATTCTTTGTATCAGGTCACTCACAGATGGAGTCAGATTCTATCCACTCAGCAGTTGAGCATGCAAAAAAGAAAACTCAGGTCTTCGTCCCAAGCCAGTGGGCAACGATCGTCAGGCTGGCGCGAAGAAATAAGCCATACACTGTCATTCCAATGCGGTTTGATGACTTTTATGATCTGAAGGCACTCAAATCTAGGACTGCTAGCAACATGAAGATTGACATCTGCGGTAAAAGAGTGAACTGGCTCTGCATTAAAAGGATCCAAGTAAGAAAAGACAAGCCAAATTCTCTTTTTGTCAATTACAGTTTTGATCCCGAAGAGTTTCTTGAAATCCGTGTCACAAGAGGAAGGATGCAACAGAATGACAGTACCCTAACAAAATGCTTCAACTCCAAACTGCCAATCTCTACTGAGAAAAAAATGACCTGTTGTCTCTGTGCCGTACTAAAATTATTCCAGAGGAATACCATACATATGACGAATCTCTTCAAACCAGTAAAATGTTGAAGGACGAGATGTCAGACATAGATGACAGTGAATTTGAAGAAAAGGATAACTAAGGCTAGGCGTTGGCACAAAATGTTAATACAAGGATTTCTTTAATAACATTTTTTTTTTTTCATTTGTGTGTATGATGTGTGGATACCAAAAACCTGAGTTATGAGTAGCATACACTCGGATAGATTATCTGATGAAACCTTAGTGAACATTAAGTGTAAACTTATTGAACTGTAATATATCTACAAAATAAAACTTGGATTTTAAGTAAACTATATGATTTGGATAAAATATGCTCGGAACTATTACGTCTTTGGTAAGTTTTTAACTTTAAAAACAAACTTTTTTGACATTTTTTAATAAATTGTGCCTAATTACATTCGAAGATTTAATTATTTAATCATTATTACATAGAAATGTTTCTAATCAGAAGACTGGTTTAAATAAAGTCCCTTTGTTGCACAAAATATAGGGAACATTTTGAAAATAAGCCAGTGCAACAAAGGGCTATCTCAGGATGATAGCACCTTGTTGCATTAACTTCCATAAGTATGTCAATGCAACAAGGTGCTATCTTGATAATGACCTATGCTATGCTATTTATAGTTGACCTTTGACCTCATTATTTTTGGTATGTCTTCTTTTCAATATTATGTTTAATAATATATTACCAGTTTTTCTCTGCCTCAGATAGCACTTTGGCGACAATGGACTAAAACTTTCAAATGCGTTTTTCTCAAAACTGTCAAAAACTGACATAGCACCTTGTTGCTCTAATGGGGCGAAATTTGAAAACCCCTCGGGTGGAATTTCCCTATCCTACACCCCTGGACATAAAAGAGTCTAATAATCTTAAACACATATAGAAATGAGAGATACAGGTTTCCTCACTCATACTTTCAAATTGTAAAAGGCGCTCATTAAACCTTGAAAACTTGAGTTAGACAAACAGGATAACCAACTTTTGTTTGGGAACGTCTCTTTACCTGTATGTTGATAGGGACTCCCTCGTTAGCCAGGACGAGCTTACAGATTTCAGGATAGCCCTTCCATGCTGCCAGATGTAGTGTGGTACAGCCCGTGTTGTCCTGTAGACTGGGTAAGGCCTCGGCAGACAGCAGTCTTTCAACTGTGACCCTGGAAAAAAACCGTAGTCCCAGCATGAAATTATGCATAATGAAAGCTTTGCTTCCATACAGTACCTGGTTTAACCTTGTGAGTACAAACTCAGACACATTAAATATCAAGGTTATCTTACTGTCAATATTTGGTCGAAAACACTTTGTTTTAGTATTATTACATGTTTATGTATACATTTATTGTTTTTGTGAAAGGAAACATGATTCTTTATTTTTCCTTAGATTAATCATGTTTCACATGGGTAGGGTAATAATTATATTATCACACTGACATACGACATTAACACAACAGCGTACATGATGTTCATGATCGTACTTCTAAGCCATTGTTGTCATCTGCTGCAGTCACTCAAAACTTAGGTATGGTACCTCTTACCTTATATGGGAAATTTGACTGGGGAGACATATATATGTAAGTGCGAGGGGAACATGTGTTTTATTTCCCTCCCATGTGATCAATATAATCCAATCAGACACACTATTTTATAGATGAGATGTAATAATAGGTTTCGTCTCATGAATTACCACATACCTAATACCTCCATGGTAATTATATCTTGAGCCAAAATGTACATTGTAAAAAAGTCACAGGCCCTACAGTTGCTGTCGGTGTACAATACATATCGGACCCCTATACATCAGGCAAGAGCCGTGAAGTCACTGATTAACCCATATATAATATACAAATGAAACAATGGGGAAGATAAAGGACTGCGGAAAAGATTGTCTATATTGATTTACACAAGGAACTGTAATTTGGTACATACTGATCTTGCTAATAAACATAGACTATTGTGTATATGTACTAGATACCGCTATTGTCTTACATAGCTGCTGGCCATGCAAGATAGAGCTTTCCCATGATGGATGGCCATGTACGATAGATCTATCTCACATAAGCACAGTTTCACAATGGAAAGACGTTGTAATGATGTTATGATGCAGAGTTTGACGTCATTTTAATCAATTTTACTGAAGTTTGTTTTCCTAATCAAGTATTTTAAACTTAAGGTGCATACTTTCAGTATTAACTAATCTCTGATGGGCTCTTTCAATATTATAGAAGTTGATATTTTCCACAAGATGGTGCCTAGACATCTCGATGACATAAGTTAGTAAGCAACGAAAAAATAACTCGACCATATCTTAATTATGTAGGATAGAAATATCCCACGCTTGGGTACATATTTTGAGTTCAAAATCCTCAACAAGCCTCATCTTTTGTCCCAAATTCTGTACCTTCGGTTAGGATACTCCTTTTTAACATTTGACGTAATTTAAGGGTGTTTGGATATTTGATTTGACCTTTAACCCAATATAAAGATATTTGAATATATGATTTGATCTTTGACCTTTGATGCTCTATAATGCGGCGTTCACACAGTGCCGATTATGGCTCCCGTTTGAGATCAGACAGTGCTACGACACGAAAAGCGAAAAAGTCGAATTACTATCCTCAATGATCTGGAATGTCCTATCATTGTCTGAACGCAGTCGTATACGTTCGTAACAGAGTCTTACGGCCAAGCACTCCCGACAGTTAGGTGCGTCCCGTAACATTCGAGAAACTCAGCCGATTTTGTCTAGTCGGATTACAATTGTGACTATGTCGTGACAGATTCTGCTGTATCGGATCAAAATCGTAACAATATCCTGTTTTGTCTGGACGGTGTCTTGTGAATCGGGACGCTGTCGTGATGAATGGGCAAGATTTGGAGAAATTGTTCATTGCCGTATCTAGCCGATTAAGTCCAGATTGCGTCCAGATTGCATCCAGATCTTGCTGGATGCGTCGGTTCACTGTCCGGTCACTGTCTGATCTCTGTCGGATCACGTTCAGGAGAATTGGGACGCTGTCGGGACAGATTCGCTCGTTTTTTACCATGCGGAAGTTACAAATCGGATCATATTCGGATTGAGAACGGGAGAATCGGGACGAATTTGTCTGGAAAAGGCTGAATCGGGACGCTTCCTGAACAACATCTGATTGTTGTCATGATTAAATAAATGTTTTCACAAATTTGTGAATTTCCCACCACGAATCACACAGTCTTGATCTGACTTTTTCTTTCTTTTTTAGAGGAGTGGTCCTTTCAAAGACGGCAGTAAAAAATCCTGAATGTGTGACTGAGGCTTAAAGGCTTTTGGATATGATTTGACCTTGACCCAGGAGATATTGAGTAATATAAATTGACCTTTGATGCATTTTAAAGACATTTGGATATGATTTGACCTTTGACCCAGATGATATTGAGAAATATAACTTGACCTTTGATGCACTATGAAGATGTTTGGATATGATTTGACCCTTGACCCTAAAGATACATTCAAACCTCGCTATCTCAAAGTAAGGGTCGTGGGAAAACTTCAAGTTATCCGAATATTCAGGTTATGCGGGTTCATATATTTGGTATGAAATTTGCTGTCTGGACATAGCATTAGCAGTCGTTGATTTGTATTAATAGCCAATGCTTATAATCAATCGATGAATGATATACGTAATCAATATAACAAATACAGGTATGTTATTTTACAATAAACACGCTTACAAAAAAAGAGCAAGTTATTTCCGAAAAACATTTCTTTTAGCACGATCAAAACGGTTGGACCATATTGTAAATTTGTTACTAAATATGGATGGCTCTAGTGATTAAATGTGGTTTTTGGATAGTTTTGGCAAAAGTCTTTCCAGATCTGCATTTATATTTGCAAGTCCATCAAATTTTCCCTCTGAAGTGTTACATTTAAAATTTGAACATTCCCGCTGTCTTTGACCTCGTACTATACAATGCGAAAAATGAAAGTGCGCAAGTCTAAAACTAATCACTGTAATGGAGCATACATAGTTGATTCTTTAAATGAAAACACACACAAACAGATTCTATCGTACATGTAACACATTGATTCATTACAGCTAATTATGACACCTGACATCTCCTCAAATCGATGTAATCAACAGCAATATCGTATTGTTCTCCAAATCTCTCGATCGACTTTCAAAGCCATACTCGCTCGTATGAAACATGAACCTGTGAAGCTGTGTTAGGTTGTGATTTTAACTGTGGAACTCTTTTATGCATGACCACGCTTTGTGACCAATTTTCCGGTTTGGACTGTCATCAGTTTTTGTGTACAAATCATTAAAGGACTTGCAGTAAGCATACAGAATACTGTTGATCAACATTGATGAAGTTTGTTTTTTATCATGAACATCGTGGTTTTGACAGTCTGCACACATTACATTCTTAAGCTTTATATGAAGCTTACATTTGTATGTATATAAGCTTAGTTTAAACTGATAAATTTCATTCTGTCTATCTGTATTTATATTGCTACCATCCGTACTGAATTTATCATATTTGGTAGTATACTATAGAATTGATTGTAACCTATTATAATGTTTCCAAATAGGAACACATATGTACATTACATAAGTATATACAGTATAATCGTCACACTACTATTCCTTATTCGGACCTGGTAGCTCACCAAGCTGCATCAAGATGAGGAATAGTGTAATACGGGATGATCATCTATCTATATATCTGTATGACCATACTGACACCTATTCCTCACCCAGACCTGGTAGCTCAGCAAGCTACACCGTGATGGGGTATAGCTCATACAATATACATGATGTCCAGTTATTATCCTCTTCTGTCATACTCATCAGTAGCTCTAGCCAAGTACTGTTCCAACACTGCATTGTTGACGGTCCGCTAGATTCTTAAGATGAGGATTTTTAACTGGACACTACATGCTATCATTCTTCTGGAAAATTGTTCTTTCCATTAATTTCTTTAAATATCTCAATTTGCTGACAAATCCAGGAGAAGGATATTTAGTTTATTTTGTAGTAACTGAGTTGCCCCTTTCGCCAAACATAGTTATGTAGTATGTAATATGAATGCATATGTTTTTAGTTATTTGTCATATAATCATGTTATGTCATAATGTATATATTGTAACTTTTATATTCTTGTAATTTGTTCAGTTTCAACATAAAATATTTTCACCGATTTCACGAAAGATGTTCATCAACACGGAATGGCGAGATGCCGTAGTTTTGCTTTTTATTTGTATGAAAGAATAAATAAGTGACTTACACGGATTTACACGGTTGAAACCAATATCTTACTTCGAGGTACAGTGGAACCCACTTATTATGATATCGGTTATTATGATATATCGGTTACTATGATATTTTTCCCATGTACCGATTTTTTCCTTCTTTAATTAAACAAAAAAATATCGTTTATTATGATATGGTCAAAAGAAGAACCCCGTTTATTGTGATATTTTTTTCTGCCGTGAATGGATTTTATAAGGTAAAAACTCAGGCAAGTTGTTTGTGTGGAATACCTGGACAATTACGCAATAGGTCTGGCTAACTGTATATCGCCCGAGATAATCATCTGTCCACTCAAGGTAAATTTTTCACCTCGTTTTCACCCCAGTCAGCGGAAAACAATAGATCGACCATCGCTTGCTGGTCATACATTTTAGTCTTAACAAAACATGTGGTGCAGTAAATTGCTGTAGGACTGTATATCAAATTAAAACAATTAGGCCTACCGAACACAAAATTCCGATTAGAAAACGAACATGTCTTTCACAAATATTCACGGTTAACTTGAAAAATCATGCCGATTTCAAGGAAAATATTACTTCAGAAGGAAGACCTGTGTTTTTAATCATTTAAGCAATAAAAAGTTTCTGAATTGCATTAGAAGTTGATTTCCCTGTGTTTCCGTTGAAAAAGTGTCAAATTCGGGACATACCGCCCCGACAGCATGGTGCCGGAAATCGATCAAAAATTATCGTTATTGTCCTAAACAACTTACGACTGCTGCTTTATTTACAATTTACACCATTTTCGTTAAATACAATATTTGATTACTGTTAAAAAGGGAATATTTTGTGTTTTTAATTGTCATTGTTTCTTTGCAAGTTGATTTAACAGCACGACTTACGAGGCATGTGATTGCCACGTGATCGTAATTGACAAAGCACAGCAAAATATCTTTACTTATATCACTTCACGTGACTGTAACATTACAATATCATTAGCTACAAGTGTAGGATGTAGTATAAAGATAGTTCTTAGAAATTTGCTCTTTGAAAGTGAAAGTAGAATTTACATGCTAATCATTACGATGGCAAAACGAAAACCTCTCGAATTTTTCCAACACTCTGATATAAATAACAATGAACAAATTATTTCAATTATTAATTGATCTTTTTGAATTTATATTTTTCCATGTTTCCACATCAATCTATGTCTAACTGATATAGGGCATCTCACTTCCGGTTCAGACAACATAAAAACGACCGAAAACAGCTTGATCGGTTATTATGATATATCGGTTATTATGATATTTTTCTCTGGCAAATAGGATATCATAATAAGCGGGTTCCACTGAACCTCAGTTTTTCGAGTTTTCAGGGTTCGAATTATCAGATTTATATTTACTAAGATAAAGAAGAGATTTGGCCATGACCAGAGAAATACTTCCAGATAAACGGGGTCTTCGAGTTATAAGAGTTTGAAATAACGAGGTCCAACTGTATTGAGAAATGTAACTTGACCTTTAACCCACTATGAAAATGTTTGACATTGGACAGTTACATAAAATACTTTGAACTCTGATGACCTATATATGATGTTAAACATCTAGATGACTGAAACCATTTGAATGTGTTATAGTTCCCGGACACTTACAGATCAATGATAACGTATCTATATCTAGGTCTCTATGGCTGCTAGTACTGTGAGATTGTTTAGTATATAAAGAGAACAGGAAGTCTCCTATAGCAACAATGTTATCTCAAAACAGATAAAAGTTTAGTTTTTAAAAGATGTTTTGTGTATACACATGTACACAAGGTTTTTAAAATCAATGTATTTTTCTTAAAATTCTCAGAGTCTAGGGCACATACATTTCACCATCTCACATATTCTTATCCCACAATGCACTATGCTCGTAAAACTGATCCACATCACTAATTTTTAAACTCTGACCTTTAATCTTTTTTATCTTAATAGAAATTTATGAATTGTACATACTAATGTTATAAGGTCTTGAATTTGCATCTAATGCCCCAAAAAATATAAATAAGTATCCTTTAATACGTAATATCTGTCTATAATAAAATCGCCAGAAATTCAAATTAAAAACATTAACCTTCACAACAAAGATCAAATATAAATTATACATACTCCGGGCCTGTAAAATATAAATTATCCGTGCTCAGGGCCTGTAAAAATTAATTAGCCATGCTCAGGGCCTTTAAAAAATCAATTAGCCATGCTCATGATCAGGGCCTGTTAAACAAATATTACACAGAGTTGGGGTCTGTAAAACATAAATTAGCCATGCTCAGGGCCTGTAAAACTTAATTATCAATGATCAGGGCATGTTAAACAAATATTATCCAGAGTCGGGGTCTGATAAACATAAATTATTCATGCTCAGGGCCTGTAAAACATAGATTTTCCATCCCCAAGGCCTGTAAAACATAAAATATTCATGCTCAGGGCCTGTAAAACATAAATTATTCATGCTCAGGGCCTATAAAACAAATTATTCATGTTCAAGGTCTGTAAAACATAAATTATTCATGCTCAGGGCCTGTAAAACATAAATTTTACATATTCAGGGTCTGTAAAACATAAATTATACATGTTCAGGGCCTGTAAAACATATAATATACGTATTCAGGGCTGTAAAATATAAAGTATACAGAGTCTGGGCCTGTGTATACTCACTTGTGTCCGTGGAGGACGGCCAGGTGTAGTGGAGTATAGCCATTACTGTCCACACAGTTTACATTGGTCGCAGATCTGACCGGCCAACTGAAATAACAACAACATCAAAATCTTACCTCAGGTGAAATAAAGAAAGAGAATGTGAAATTTATATAAATGAGACATTATTGTATGCGTAAACAGTACAAACACCATATCTTTACTTTGCATGTTTTCCCCTAATTAAACCATTAGCAAACTTATATGTTAAATTGTTTTATAGAGTGAAAAGTGAACTATTAGCTCCAATCAGTAAACCGTACCGATGAAATATCTGTTTGACCAAAGTTTCATGAACAGAAGATTTTCCATTTGAAAGAACTGCTGGGGTTGACAAAAATGTCTTTACTTCCAAGGAATTTTCTTTAAATCCATTAACATTTTCTAATGGAGAAACAATCATAAACTTAGGCCTGTGGTTACAAAAATTGACCCTTTAACCATGAAAAAAAGCATCAAAATCTACCATTACAAAGGTACAACAAATCACAGAAAAACAATTTCCATGGTTTCAGTCATAAGGTAGCAGTGTACAGTAGAGGGTTGTGGCCATGGGTGATATTTTTGTTAAATGGCTAACCCCTGTATAATGATATGTAAAAAAAATATAAAAATAAAACTGTACTAAAATTGGTATAAGCATGATGAAGTGGGCTATGTGAGCTTCACATTTGTAAAATTAAAAAAAATTAAAAATTTGGTTCGAGACCAAAATTTTGGCCATAATCCGAAAGGGTGCCTATACACATGCAAAGCTAGCTTTACAAGAGGTAAAATTTTGACAACAGCACACGACGGAAAATTGCAAAAAATCAAGTTTTACAATTTTACTGGGACCAAAATAATTCTGCAACCAAGTAGGTAATCTTCAATTTCAGACAGAACTGAGGAAAAAAATTACTAGTTGCGGGGGTCAAATTTTAGGTCAAAAATAGCATTTTTTGGTGATTTTTGGTGATTTTTGATGTGGTAACCATGGTTTTCACACAAGTGACATACATAGAAAAAGAGGTTTATACACTTCTCAGTACTTTATATGTATTGGAAATGTAATGCAGTTTACAAATATATATACATGTATATATGTTGTGTAGGGTAAATCCGCTGTGTTTACATTTCCTCGACATGTGCCTTGTTTTTCAAAGTCGGGCCATTTCTACTGTATGTTGCTACCTAAACATTGGGTCTCAATCAAAGATCTACTGTTCCAGTGGTAAACGTTTAGCATAAATAAAAGATCTATCATTTCAGCAGTATATAACAACATATCAAAGATCTATGGTTTCAGTGGTAAACAAATATCAGAGATCTATTGTTTCAGTGGTAAACAAAGGCTCAATATCAAACATCTATTGTTTCAGTGTTGAGCAAAGTCTCAGAATCAAACATCAATTGTTTCAGTGGTAAACAAAGGCTCAGAATCAAATATTTATTATTTCAGTAGTAAGCAAAGACTCAGAATCAAATATTTATTATTTCAGTGGTAAACAAAGGCTCAAAATCAAATATTTATTATTTCAGTGGTAAACTAGATATACCCCCATAAGTGGTGGCCCGGCCACGTTTACCAAGCCCTGAACTTTGGTAAGGTTTTGTCATTACCACAAGCTTAAAAAAAAAAGGTAGGGAATTGTTCTACTTGTCCTATTTAGAATGTGTACAAATCACACAGGCTAGATATATCCATGGTATTTGTGGCAATGATAGATCACCCAGCTCTCAGAACAAGAAAACACAAGTTAAATGTCGGAGTCTCATGCAACCCTGTAATTATTATAGGAATATCTAAAACCATTCATTTCTTATCATAAAAGTTCTATTGTAGGGTTCAAACTTGGCAGACCTTTGACACGAATAAACCTGACATCACGTTATGATGAAATGACCTGTACATGTCCTCTGTGACAAATACTTATAAGGATGGGGCTACCCGGGTACATATTTTTGATAAAACCATTTTATTGTTTTTTTCTAAATTAAACCCTAAGAAGGGATGACCATACTAAGTCAAAGGTCTACAGCGATGCTTCATGCATTATGAATACATCAATTCAGGAAAAAGTTCCAAAGAACCTTGAAACGACCAACATTGTTCATGATTTTATATTCACAGTCCAAAGATGTGTTTACAACTTATAAATGAAGCTAACTAATGCGATTGGATATATCAATCCATTCATCCAATCAGAAATGGCTTTCGTCTAACCTCATCATCAAAGGATAGTCCTTGTTTCATGTCTATTACACACGAAACAAATGTTTCAAATTGTTGTCTTTGTTCTTTATCTGTCTCGGGTACTCGAGTGCAGAATGATAATTTCGCAAGGTTAATGGTCTTAGAGCTCGAGGGTAACATCTCTTGGAGATACCAGTAAAGATACAACAATAAAGATCTTGACATACATGTATATATGTCTCGTCAATGTAGCACCACACAAAGAAAAATGTATATCCCAATAGAAAGGTTAGATCAGCTTTAAAATTTTAATTAATGTTTTTCTAACATGATAACATGTAAATAAAAGCACAAAATAAAAAAAAAAGACAAAATATACAAGTGCAAAAATAATCTTTTAAAAAAAATAAAAAATACTGCTTAATTAAGCTGTCTAGTCTTTCGTCAAATGACCGAAATCAATAGAACTAGCTATACTAAATTAGGCATCAACAGAAAAAAACATTGAGCACATTTATACAAAGACTGGTTAGCTTCATCAAAAGTTCAAGTAAAGTTTTCGTCAAGGTTATTTTCAAAGGTATTCATTTTCATAAATGAACAACACTAAATTATCAGGTAAATTCTTGCTGTACCCTAAGTAATAAAAGAAAAAATGCTAAATACTGGAATATTTAATAAAAGGTAATCTATTTTCAATTAATTTAAAGAAAGTGTTAAGCTCACAAGATTTGGATAACCAGCATTGCCATATTCTGTACTGATAGTGCAGTTATCCTTCTGTTCCCTAGATCTTGTAATTGGTAAATACATATCAATGGAATGGTGTATGTCCATTACAGCCACAAGGGTATAACAGGGTGTATATCTATCAAACCACAAGAAAAAATTATCACAGATGAACAAAAATTGCCTTTAAGGTGGCTCCACACTTTCGTAATTAACCAGCGAAATTCGTTGAAACTTTCATATAATGGTTATGCAACTATGTAGAGTTGATTTTATGAAAATCTAAACACTCCGATAGTTAGGGGACTTTCTTGGAAAAAATACAAAAAAATTGAATTTTCGTCAATTTTAATATTTTCCGGGTTTTTTTTGGGTGTGACATTGTTCGGAACAATAACAACAATAATAAAATGAAAAGAAGCATTTCTAATTAACCCTACAAATATTTTATTTATCGCAAAATATGTAACACATGTTACACAAAGTGTTTTTTATTGAATTTGAACGGATAAAAGTGATTATCTACAAGCTAAAAGCCAACAGGACACAAAGATCTATACATATAGAATGGGAAATTGAACAAAATATACACAATGGCTTTATAATTAATTTATTTTACATTTTACAATCACTTCGATCCGGGTAAGAGTTATCTTCCTTGAAAAAAATCGGAACTTTTTGCAGAGGGGTGACATTTACACAATGACAGTTGTCCCTGTTTACATATAACAAAAATGATGGAAATAAATCAAAAATATGATATCAAAATTATCAATTTATTGTTCTTTAATGGAACCAAATTACCCTCAGTCATGTACACTTTGGACATCATTCCACAGTCCGCTAACTCACGGTATGTTTATAATTACATGTCAGGTACATATGTGACCAGAGGCTATCGCATGGTATGCCGTTCTCACGTGCACTCACACATGCATTTTATAGGTATCTTGATATTTTACAAAACATTATTTTCACAGAGTAAGTAGACTACATTTGTAAACACGATTTAATCGACAGAGCGAAACTTCCTCAACAGCGAAAATCGTAACGACCTCGAGCTTATGAACTCGTGTTGCACATGTGAGGTCGGTACGTCCGCATTCCATGCGTTTCCTATATGACCTTCTTGAGGTCGTTTGGTCTCATGTCACTATCTTCCCGTGAGTCTGTTTATGTCTATGAATTTGAAAGCTTTATTCCTGAAATACGTGTGATTATACATTTCCCGGTAAAATCTCGATATCGGGTGTTGACATATCATCGGCACGCACGTGTACTATTGTTTACCAGGGGCCTGTTCGTGTATGCGGAGCAAACGGTTTGTATATGCAGGCCTTGCAAGGCTTTCTCAAGGCTCGCCTGAAAGCAGCATCAGATTACTAGGTCCGACCTTATTTAATGAACGAACAACAGTGGTCCGATCGGTTTGACCGTTTAAACGAAAACAGTCAAGGTGTAACTTTAATTTGCACAACGACATTGAATGCCCGATACACAATACGGAAATGACGACACGGTGTACATGCACATTTCGATCAAGATAATTGAGTCCGAGCTGTACTTTTTCCGGAAGTACGTCACGAAAAGGGACGCTGATGACGATGTGTGGAGCCACCTTAAAGAGAAAATTGAATAACAAATTCTTATTTTCGGAGCCATTACAAAATTGCCTCCCTTTGCTGTATATGTGATTTGTGACTTCTGTATATGGTGATTTGTGACTTCTGTATATAGTTAATTGTGACTTCTGTATATGTGATTTGTGACTGCTGTATATGTGATTTGTGACTTCTGTATATGGTGATTTGTGACTTCTGTATATGGTTAATTGTGGCTTCTGTATATGTGATTTGTGACTTCTGTATATGTGATTTGTGACTTCTGTATATGGTGATTTGTGACTTCTGTATATGGTTAATTGTGGCTTCTGTATATGTGATTTGTGACTTCTGTATATGTGATTTGTGACTTCTGTATATGGTGATTTGTGACTTCTGTATATGGTTAATTGTGGCTTCTGTATATGTGATTTGTGACTTCTGTATATGTGATTTGTGACTTCTGTATATGGTGATTTGTGACTTCTGTATATGGTTAATTGTGGCTTCTGTATATGTGATTTGTGACTTCTGTATATGTG